GAGAAAGCGCCATACCGCCTTCCACAGGGGTTGCACCATTTTACACTCCCACCAACAGTGAATCAGGGTTCCAGTTTCTCCACAACCTTGCCAGCCTTTGTTGCTTGCTGTTCTGTTAAATTTTGCTATTTTGACTGGGGTGAAATGATATCTCATAGTTGTTTTAGAGCTAGGGATTTTGAACATTTCTTCATGTGTTTGTTTGCCATCTAAATGTCTTCTTGGTGAAGTGTCTATTCATATCCTGTGCCCATTTTCAACTGGGTTGTTTACCTTTATTTTGTTGTGCTGCTCGAATATTCTATAAATTCTATATATAAGTCCCTTATCTGACATGTCATTGCCAAATATTTTTTCCCAGTCTTTGACTTTTCTTTTTACCCTGTTGGAGAAGTTTTTGGTTGTACATAGGGATTTGATTCTTAGATAGTCCCACTCATCTATTTTATCTTCGCCTGGTTGTAGATTTTTCATGATTCTCTTTAGGTTGTGGATTAGTGCTTCTAGAGTTCTTCCAAGCTTTTCTCTAATGAAGTTTATAGTCCTTAGTTTTAGTCCTAGGTCCTTGATCCACTTTGAGTTGGTTTTTGTGTATGGAATGAGGTGTGGATCTCAATTGAGTTTTCTGCAGATAGTTTTCCAATTTTGCCAGCACCATTTGTTAAAAAGGCTGTTGTTTCCCCACTTAACTGATTTCATCTGCTTGTCAAAAATCAACTGACCATAGGTAGATGGGCTGATTTCTGGATTCTCAGTTCTATTCCATTGATCTATGTGTCTGTGATTGTACCAGTACTATGCAGTGTAGTAGGATTTGAAATCAGGGAGTGAGATGCCTCCTACCTTGTTTCTATCTTTAAGGAGTACTTTACTTATTCAGGGCCTTTTTCTATTCCAAATGAAATTGGAGATTGTCTTTTCTATCTCGTTGAAGAATGGAATTGGTATTTGTATTGGGATTGCGTTGAATGTGTAAACTGCCCTTCGTAGTAGTGTCATTTTCACAATATTGAGTCTTCCTATCCATTTCTTCAGGTCTCTTTTTGTTTCTTATAGTAATGTTTTGTAATTTTCTTTGAAGATTCTGTGTTTCTGGTTAGATTTATTCCCAAGTATTTAATCTTGTGATTAGCTGTTGTGAAGGGTTTTGTTTTTCTTAGCTTTACTTCTGTATTCTCTTTGTTACTGTAGAGAAGTTGAATTGATTTTTGTATGTCAATCTTGTATCCTGCCACTTTGCTGAATTGGTCAGCTATGTCTAGTAGTTTTCTTGCTGAGTCTTTAGGGTTTTCTAAGTATATTATTATATCATCTGCAAAAAAAAAAATTACCTCCTCTTTGCCAATTTGGATACCTCTTATTTCCTTCTCTTGTCTTACTGCTCTCACTAAGACTTCCAATACAATATTGACTAGGAGAGGTGATATTGGGCATCCTTGCCTAGTTCCTGTTCTCAAAAGGGATGCCTTTAATCTCTCTCCATTGAGAACAATATTGGCTCTTTGGTTTGCATATATACTTTTTACTACGTTGAAGAAATTCCCCTCTAATCCTATTTTGTTGAGTGCTTTAATCATGAAAGGGTGTTGGATTTTATCAAAGGCTTTTTCTGCATCAATTGATAGGATCATGTGATTCTTGTTCTTTGCTTATTTATGTGATGTTATGAATTACATTGGTTGTTTTTCTTATGTTGAACCATCTTTTCATACCTGTTAAGAATCCCACTTGGTTATGGTGAATTATTATTTTTTTTTATGTATCGTTGGATTCTATTGGCCAGGATTTTATTCAGGATTTTGTTCATGAGAGATATTGGCCTATAGTTTTCTATTTTGGTGGGGTCTTTACCTGGCTTTGGTATCAAGGATATGTCTGCTTCATAGAATGAATCTGGGAGAATTCCATCTTTTTTTAATCTTCTGAAATAGTTTATGTAGAATTGGTAACAGTTCTTCTCTGAATGTTCGATAAAACTCACTTGTAGAACCATCTGGTGCAGGGTTTTTTGTGCCTTGAAGTTGTTTTATTACCTTTTCAATTTCTTCTTTTGTAATAGGTCTGTTCAGATGTTCAATTTCAATTGTGTCAGTTTAGGTAGGCTGTGAATTTCTAACTATTTGTCCATTTCCTCTAGGTTTTCCATGTTTGTTTGAGTATTGTTTTTCCATAATATTCCATTGTTAGCATTTTTTTATTTTGGTTGGTTCTGTTGTGACATTGCCCATTTCATCTTTTGTTTGGATTATTTGAGTCTTTTCCTTCCTTTCCTTTGTTAGTTTTGTTAGTGGTTTGTTGTTTTCATTGACCTTTTCAAAGAACCAACTCCTAGTTTTGTTGCATCCTTGCTTACAAGGTAAGACAGATACACAAAGATGAATTCACCAAGACTGATTAATAGTGAAGAGTTGGGAACACATAAATGTCCATAGTATGAAAGATGCGCTAGAGCTTTGCAGTGGAGCACCAAGCAGTTACTAAAATTGATAATAAATATTTTCTTTTACATGAAAGATGCTTTTTACCAATCTTGGGTGGTATAATCTGAAGGGGTTTTTACTTAAACTTTCTTCGATATCTCCTTCTCATCTTCTCCCCCTTGCCCCCACAGTAGTCATGATCAGTAAGGAAAAGAAGCTGGTGTTGCTTTAGAAAATAAAATTCAGACAAATGATATGGAAATTGATTGCAGTAAGGATAAAGAGTTAAGTCTTTGTAAAAAGCACTAATGAAACTAAGAAGAAACCTCAGTAGGAATGAGCAGAGAATGTGAACAGACAATGTGTAATGTAAGCATACAGGTAATAAACAGATACGAAACATTATTCACACTAACATAATCATTTAAGGAAAGAACTTTTTAATGAAACTAACAAAAGCTGTTTGCTGCCATTTATGATAGAAATGTATAGTATCAATTGATTATGATACATGTATTTGGTACTATTAAAAAGTAAAATTATGTAAACCATGCTGCATCTTAAAAATACAATATTTGACTGAAATAATTAGGTGTTAGGGTTTTTATGAGGATGAATGATCAGGTGTAAGGAGAAGAGCAAGATCCTTCAGTTGAGAAAGATCTGGATTCCCTGCAGTTGTGTTTTTTCATAATTGAGCTCTTGGGGAGCTTGCTCAAACTCTCTTAGATTTGGGTCCTTTCCCCTTGAGAATGAGATACTTATCTCTCTGATGGTAAATTATTTTAAATGTGTAAAGAGTGCATCTATCTTAGTCATCTACTGCTACTGTAGAAGTACCAAAAGTTGATAGCTTTAACAAACACTTTTATTTTCTCATGGTTTTCCAGCTTAGAAATCAGAATCTAGGGTGCCAGTTCTAGGGGAAGTCTTTCTCTCACTGCGGTCTCTGGCATTCTTGTACCCTGACCACAGCATTTGTGGTCGAGGCATCCCTTGGACTTTTTCTCTCCGTGTGTTTTAGTGTCAGCCTTCTCCTGGTTCTAAGACACACACAGTATCAGGACCTTGAGTTCAAAGGACACACTCTGCTTCCCGCTCTTCCATTTCGGTGGTCTCTGTAATCTTTGCTTGATTATTTCTCCTTTTCTCTCTCCCTCTCTTCTCCTCCCTTCTCTGCCCCAAAGTACATTAGAGAGAAGGTAGATTGTGCTGTGCTGTGATCCATTGTTGGGGCTGGCTTTGACTTTCATCACATGACTGAGTAGGACTGTTTTAATAATGTGAATGAGGTTAATAGCACCTGTGGAGCAGCGACATGTGAACAAGGTGTGTAGACTACCAACAAGGGGATTGGTTAGTTTTGCTATCCTGCCAGGCTTGGCTTGAAAACTGGACTGTAGCTACCATCAAGAGAGAAGCAGTGGAGAGTGCACCTCATCCTTGTAGGTCAGAGATTGCTGCTCCAAGTGGAGACCCAGGCCAGGCCAGAGCAGCAGCTGCAGAGGTGACGGGGAATCAGTGACCACCGTGCGACAGAGCAGAACTAGAACTGCTGCCCCATGGAGCCGGATTCAAGGACTTTCGCAGGGCCCAGAGTGGGGGCAGGCTGGATGGGGGCACACCATAGTTGGCAGAACTAAAAAGAGCTGTAAGGAGGGGCCCAGCGAATTTGGTGAGCAGAGGACCTACCTGCAAGCACGCCTTGGAAGCTATCCTGATTAAAGAATTGTATCCTGTTTCCAGCCTGAATCACAGCCTGTTCCCTCACGCACCCCCTGCCATCAGGTGGGAACTGACCCATTAATGGGGTTCTGAGGCTTTAAGGAGCAGATTGCCAGTCTTCCTTCTGCAGAGCTGCTGGTGGATTTGATCCTCCAGAGAGGCATGACCTTGAGGTTAACAGCACAACTCACCATGGACTCCAGCACCAGAGCTCCTGGTAACCTGCTACCCACTCCTCCAGTAAATCCTGTAATTGTGAGTTCTGTGTGTCCTGAGCAAGAGATGAGTGGACCCAGCGGTAGAGCATTGAGAACCAGGGAGGAAGGGTTGGTGTGAGAATTCAGATAAGGGGCAGGAGCATGGAGACGTGGCTGACCTCATAGCTAGCAGGACTGTTGATGGAGACTCATCCCGCCTATGGAGTTACTGGAGGTTGGGGGTGCTGGCTGCATTGTCTTTACACTATTCTACAGGTGAAATGAATTGATGATTAGAGTAAATATAACACTTAGCTCTGAGGAAGGAAGGAAATAGTACTGGAAACGCTCCTTGTCCTTATCTGGATGGTGGTCTCATGAGTAAATAAGCATGTAAAATCCATCAAACTGTGTATTTAAGATGAGCGTACCTTCAGTACTTTACAATACCTGGATTATGCATTGGAAAAAAAATGTTAAAAACCAATCTGTTCTAGTCTTCAAGGTGTCATAGGAATTTAAATACATTAAGTCATATATTAAGAAGATAAGGAATGAGTTCTTCATGTAACTCTGTTAAGAAATTATAATTTTGCTGTAGAAACCTTGTTTTAAATATAAAATTGAAGAGAATCTGTATTCGCTTTATCTTTTGTAGAGTCAACAATAGCAGAACTTCACAAAAAAATTAAAGAAGCTTTTGAAGTGTTTGACCATGAGCTAAACAATGCAGTGGACGTGAGGTTTGTAAATGTTTTGTTTGTTAGAATAGAGTGGCTCGAATAGAAGAGGGTTCTTTCCTTTCCACAGTGTACCTTGGATTGATTTAGTATGTCATTTGTGACACTTCTTTTCTTGCGTCTGATGAAAACGTCATGCTATCTTTTGGTTCTTTGTAGTTGGGTGAGAAGAAAAGAACTGAATTCCCCATTCCCACCTGCAGATGGATTAGGGTTATTACCAGTGGCATTGGTAATATTTTTAGAGGCCAGCAAGGTCACAGGGAGCAATTTTAAAATGGTCCTGGGAAAAACCCTCTTTGACGCATTCTAAACCAATACCCTAGTTTCTACTGCTAGTCTTGTAAGTGTTTAAAATTGGAGCTAAAGTGAACAGGCAGTATGAGACTTTAGAACACATTTTAGCTGAATGTATTCTTTGATTTCTCATACCTGAAGGAACAAGATGTGACTGAGGCAGGGAATGCAATCAGTTTCATTACTTTATCATAACACCTAAAATATGTTTTACCCCTCACCTATATTTATGGGCCCTATTGCACTGGATAAAGTAGAATGGAGCCCAGTGCCTTATCATTTATAGTAAGCATTGCATGGGACTTGGCTCAGCTATTGCCAAGAGAATGTGAGATTATCTATGGGACTATGATAGAGGCTGTTGTGCAAACAAAGCAAAGGAACACTACATGGTTTAAAATTAAGGAGGGAGTGCATTCTCTCAGAGTTGTACTCTCTCTCCATACCTATTAGTCTGTATGCTGAGCAAATTATCTGAGAAGCTGAACTCTGTGAAGATGAGTGTGACAATCAGGTTTGTGAGGGAGACTCAGCAATAATCTGTGTTATGCAGATGATACAGCCTTGCTTACTGAGAGTGAGGAGGATTTGTAGCATTTGTTGCAGATAAACAAGGAATGCAGCCTTTGGTATGGATTGCATCTCAATGTCAAGAAAACAAAGACTCTTACCACTGAGCTGATAGGTAGTGTCATGATGGGTGCAGAGGAGACTGAAACTGGAGGAAAGAGCTTCCTCTTGCTTGGGTCCAAAATTAACACCCTTTGTACCAGCAATCAAGAAATAAGGAGACATATTGCACTGGAAAAATCTGCAGTTAGGGACCTCTCCAAATAATTAAGGACTAAGTTTGAGGACTAAGGTGCGTCTAATTCAGGCTCTAGTCTTTTTGGTTACTTGCTAGGCATCCAAGAGCTGGACAATTAATAAGGATGACAGAAGAACTTTGAGCTGTGGTGTTGGAGAAGAGCCCTGAACATCCCATGGACAGCCAAGAGAACAAATATATCTTGGAGAGGGTGCAGCCTGAATGTTCTTTGGAGGTGAGAATAATGTCTTCACCTCACATACTTTGGACATGTTGCTAGGATGTACTATTCCTTGGAGAAGGACATGATGTTGGAAGGGGTGGATGGTTGGCGAAGGAGAGGAGGAACCTCAATGAGGTAGACTGACACAGTGACTACTGAAATGAGCTCTTATGTGTCAGGATGTGTGAAGATAGAAGAGGGTTCAGATCTTTGGTTCATAGTGTTGCTATGACCTAGTGGCAAGAAGCTGTGCTGTGATTCCAAAGGCATGTTTCCTCCCATCCAATTTACTACCTCTGAAAACCTGCTGGAAAGTCAGCTATGGGTCAGTTCTGACTTGATGGCACACAACAACAGTTAGTCTAAATCTGTTTTTCTTCTGGGAGAGGTGAGAAAGACAGGACTGATACAGATGTTATCAAATGACTACAAAAGGGATATTAGGTTTCAGTAGCAGGGTCCTAAGTGGCAGGAGAATGTATTCATTTCTGAAGGACTTAGAAACTGCCTTTAGAGAGGCCGCTGTAGCATACAGGAATGAACCCGTGCCAGAAGCCAGTCTATGTCTTCTCTTCTTCTTCTGGTAAATACTGCATGCCATTCACGTCCACTTCTGGGTAATATAAAGGCTTGCTAGTGACATCAGCAACTACCCTGTAGCTGCCTTCTGTTACAGTTTTTTTTTAAGTTACTTAGAAGTGACACTTAAATATCTACTTCTGAAAACTAGAGGGTGCATTTTGTGCTAGTTTTCAGCCTTCCATGAAGAGCTCATTTTTCCTTGGTGTACCACCTTTTCTTGGTACACCTACATCTAGAGTATTTCTTTTTAACGGAAAGCTTACATTCTCTTTCTCTTCTAAGTTTTAAACTTAATGAGGACCAAGTACATTTGATATTTGGAATCTTTAATGCATACAGCATCACCTTTTGCATATATACAGCATCAATATATCAGCTGAAGATATTTAACTCAGTGTATGAAGCTATTGGGAAATGAAATTGGAAAAATGAGTTAGATGTCATTTAGGGAAGGACCTCGTTTATTTCCTCAAGTAGTCTGGATTTAATTATGTAGGCAAAACCAGCTCATAAAAGTAGAGGTACGATAAGACTCGATTTGGGTTGCTTTTTAGAAAGAATAATCAATATAATATGATAGATATTTGGCATGTGGACAAGAATAATTAGTTCCAAAACCTGGTAGCATATTAAAATAATTTGGGAGCTCTTAAAAAATAGTCAATACATTTTTTTAAAAAGGCAAAATGGAAAATTGAGGGAAAGAGTGGAACTAGGACAGATTTTAATAGACTTGACAGCAACAAGTTTGAGAAAGTGAGGAGGACTTGAAATGTTTGCTGCAGAAGATCAAAGACTACAGCCTTCAGTGTGAATAGCATCTCACCATGAAGAAGACTAAAACCCTCACCATTGGAATGGTGAGCAACATCACGATACATGAAGAAAAGACTGAAGTAATCAATGATTTCATCTTACTCAGATCCACAATCAAGACTTTTGTTACCCATAATCAGGAAATCAGGAGATGTATTGCTTTGGGAAAGTCTGTTGTCAGGGACCTCTTTAGATCACCAAGGTGCAGTGATATCAGTTTGAAGACTACGGTGTGCCTGATTCAGGCCATGTTCTTTTCAATCTTTTGCTGTGCATCTGAGAACTGGACAATGACTAAAAGATGACAGAAGAATTGATGCCTTTGTGCTGTGGTGTTGGAGAAGAGTACTGAATATCCCACAGACTGCTAAAAGAACAAATAAGTAAGTCTTGAAAGTGCAGTCAGAATGCTCTTTGGAGGCAAAGATAACAAATCTTGATCTCACATAGGAGAGGCTATTCCTTGGAAAGGTGGAGGGTCTATAAAAGAGGGGAATACCCTCAACAAGGTGGATTGGCAGTGACTACAGCAGTGGGCTCAAGTGGGCTCACGAGATGGCACAGGGTAGGACAGGGCTCAGACCTGTTCATAGGGTCGCTATGAGTCATGGTAGACTCATCGGCACCTAACAACAACAACAACAGCAATTAGGAGTTCCTGGGTGGTGTAAGCTGTCAAACACTTGACTAAGCCTAGATGCCAGACAATGACAGCCTCCCGTTGGTCCCTACGTGGTATAGAGATTTTGGAACAAATTGTTTCTTCTACCATGTTAGAATAGCTCACTTCTGCCTCCTTTCAGACACATTTACAGTGTCTGAAAACCTGCTGGAGGGTCAGCTATGAGTTGATTTTGACTCAGTGGCAGTTAGAAAAAAAATGAGCACTTTCCTTCCATTAAGACTTACAGCCTCAAAAACCTGGTGAAGGAGGCGGTGACTTAGAATCAGCCAACAATGGTGGGTAGCCCCCTCCAAGGAGCCCTGGGCATGCAGTGGTTAACATAGTTGACTGCTAACCAAAACATTGGCAGTTGAACCCACCAGCTGCTCCAGAGGAGACTCTGTGGCAGTCTGATTCCATAGACAGCTGCAGCTTGACAGCAACAGGTTTGGATTTTTTTTTAAAAAGCCTTCTATTTGGAAGAAGTTGGCAAAAAATAAGGCCCCAGGTATTGACAGCATACCAGCTGACATATTTCAACAAACAGATGCTGCCCTGGATGTGCTCACCAAGTTGTGCCAAGAAATCTAGAGGACAACAACTTGACCAACTGACTGGAAGAGATCTATATTTGTTCCCATTCCGAAGAAAAGTGACCCCCACAGAGTGTGGAAGTGAGTGAGCAATATAATTAATATCACATACAAACAAGATTCTTATGAAAATTATCCAAAAATGACTGACACAGCACATCACTGTAGAACTGCCAGACGTGCAGGTTGGGTTTAGCAGAGGCCGTGGTACTAGGGCTATTTTAGCTAATATCAGATGGATCTTGGCTAAACGTGGAGAGTACCAGAGGAATGTCTATGTGTGTTTTATTGACTGTGGATCACAACAAATTGTGAGTAACTCTGAGAAGAATGGGAATCCCAGAACACTTGATTGTGCTTACACGAAACCTATAATTAGACCAGGAGGCAGTCGTCAGAACAGAGCAAGGAAACATTGCATGGTTTAAAATTGGGAAGGGTGTATGCCAGAGATGTGGTTTATCTCTATAACCTTTTTTATCTATAATGCAGAACAGGTCATCCGGGAGGCTGGGCTCTATGAGGAGGAATGTAGCATCAGGATTGGAGGAAGACTTACCAACAATCTGTCTTATGTATATGATACAACCCTGCTTGCTGAAACTGAGGAGGACCTGGAACATTTTTTGCAAAGTCCAGGACTGTAGTCTTCAATATGAACTGAAGCTCAACATCAAGCAAAGATTCTCACCACTGGACCAATTGTCAGCATCATGACAGTGAAGAGATGGAGATTGTTAACAACACTCTTGGTACCAGCAGCCAGGAAATCAAAAGACAAGTTGCACTGGGAAAATCTTCTGTCAGGGACCTCTCTAAAGTACTGAAGAGCAATGATGTCAGTATGGAGACTAAGGTGTGCCTGATCCAAGCCACAGTCTTTGCAATTACTTGCTATGCATCAGAGAGTTCGACAGTGAATAGGATGATAGAAAGAGAATTGATGCCTTTAAACTGTGGTGTTGGAGAACTGTATTGAATGTACCATGGACTGCTCGGAGAACAAAGAAGCTCGTTCTA